AAGATTGCTACCAACCTTGAAAAAAAAAAAAAAAAAGAAGAGAGCTCCCAGCAGGCCAAATGGAAGCCACCAGAGAGAACACGGAAACTGTCACCTTCCATGTCACCGTGGATCCGGCCTCTTGAGTCTGCAGCCGCTCCAAAGAAAACCCACATTGATGGCTCGAAAGCAGGGCCCTGTGTGGGGTGCAGAGCTACCTGGAAGGAAGCCCAGCAGACACAGACAATTTATGGTTCCCGAGGGGGCAGCTGGAAGCCAGCCTCTTCAGAGGTGGCTGCAGGAGCATGTGGGGTCACATATGGAAACAATCTCGGCGTGGGGGGGTGAAGCTGGCCTCTGGAGATGTGGCCGGGCTGGGGCGCGCAATTAACCCAAGAAGAAGCCTCGTTAACGGGCCTGCAAAACAGCACACGCAGCCCCGGGGTCCAGGAAGGAAGAAAACGCCTGGTGTTCCAGCAACTCCTAGGTCAGACGTCTCAAAAAGGAACAGTGCAGGAATCCACGCACTTTGTTTTGATAAACGTCACCATCTGAGACCCATGCAGACCAGCATCGAGGGGGATGTGACGGGGCTCAGTTTGGAACAGGCGATGGTGGACCAGGACATTGTGTTCTGGGAGACCCCTCGGCTGTCCCATTCATTAGTGACCGTTGCCCCTCAGAAGAAACTGAGGCAGCAACTGAAACATCCAAAATAACTCATTCTTGAGTTTCTCAGCCAACAGGCTTCCCCACAGATCAATATCTCCTCGGGAACAAAAATTCCTGAATCTTAAGAATATTAATGTCTCCGGGGCTGGATGTTCCAGCACTGCTGATAAAGAACAGCGTCTTCCAGGAAAGGATCACTTCTTCATCTTTGGTAATAACGAGCTAGAGTCTCACAAAAATTTCAAGAGAAAAAAAGTCCCTAAAAATATTTTTAAAAACAGTCAATAGACATTTTTATAAAGGTCCAATGCCTACAGATTTGGGGGGCATGTTTTTGATTGCTTCCGGGTCTTCGAAGAAAGAAGAACAAAGAGTATTACTGATACATAGACGTATTTAAAAAGAGCAGGTGACCAGCTCCAGGTTCAGCAGCCGAAATGAAGAATCTTTGTGGGGCAATACTGCCCCCTCGTGACCAACTTTTACTTAACTATTTCAGGACGTTAACCTCCGGAAACCGACACAGGTGCCTGATTTGTACAATCTGCAGGAATATATTTTCACCCCCGGCTAACGCTCCTGTACTCCTGAAGGAGGTGGGCAGATACAGCACCACCTCTAAGTGAGGAGAAATTTGATTCAACAATGTCAGCAAAGAGTCACAATGGCGTTCCCAGGACAACTTTAGAAAATGTGGACTGTTGACATGGTGAAGAAGGCCTCACCTCCATCCCAGCTGTTTTTTTTTTGTTTGTTTGTTTGTTTTTTAACATTCCCCACAAATAAGGGAGCTGCAAATGCCTGAGGGATTTAAAGTGTAAATTCCTTCCAGCCCACATAACTCACCTGCTGGATTGTTTGCTGTAAGGAGAGACTGCTGTTCAAAACATTTCCAGCGATTTTTAAGACTGTGTAAAGAGCATTCACTGTGGTCATTTTGCTTGTTTGTCTGTTGTTGTTTGTATGTTTTTAACTTTTTATTTTATATTGGAGTATCGTTGATTAACAATGCTGCGTTAATTTCAGGTGTACAGCAAAGTGATTCAGTTATACATATACATGTATCTATTCTTTTTCAAATTCTTTTCCCATTTAGGTTATTACATACTATTAAGCAGAGTTCCCTGTGCTACACAGTAGGTCCTTTTGGGTTATCCATTTTAAATATAGCAGCGTGTACATGTCAACCCCAAACTCCCTAACTGTGGTCATTTTTACCCTGTGAATAATGGGTAGTCATCCCTATGGCACTTAATCCTCATCTTCACCAAATATTTACCCTATTCACCAGGGACTTAACTGAGCATCTACTCTATGCCAGTGTCGCGGGGACGCCATGCTCAGCTGAGTCCGCCCACCAGCAGAAGCTTCAGCACTGGGAGCTTATGAGAGAGGCAGGATCACAGCCCCGCCCCTCACCAGCCCCCGACCCCTGAACCCAGAGTCTGAATCTGCATTTCGACAAGATCCCCACATGGTTGAAGTTGAGCGTTTGGGATGCTCTGCGGAGGGGGGTGGGGTGTTCCCAGGTGTGAACAAGCTTCAGAATCATCCGGAAGGCGTGTTAAAACACAGGCTGCTGGACCCGACCCCGGGTGCCTGACTCAGTGGGTCTGAGGCGAGCCTGAGAATTTCCAGGTCTAACAAGTTCCTGGGTGACGCTGGTGATGGTGGCCTGAAGACCACGTTGGTCCTCCAACCCGGCTGCCTGTTGGCATCTTCTGGGAGTTGTAAAAAATAACGATACCTGGGTCTCACCTACAGAAACGAATGTAAATAGTGTGGTGTGTGGCTTGGGCATCAAGCATTTGAAAAGCTCCCTGGGTGATTCTAAAGGCAGCAAAGTTTGGGAACCCCTGTTCTTTGTTTTGTTGTCTCTTAACCATTTTCTTACTGAAGTACAGTTAATGTACAATGTTGTGTTCCTTTCAGGTGTACAGCAAAGAGATTCAGTTACATGTACATGTATGTGTATACATGTACTGTATATATGTATTTTTTCAGATTCTTTTCCCTTACAGGTTATTACAAGATATTGAATGTAGTTCCCTGTGCTATAGAGTAGGTACTGGTTGTTTATTTTATATATAGTAATGTGTATTTGTTAATCCGAAACTCCTAACTTATCTCCCCCACCCCCTTTCCCCTTTGGGAACCATCAGTTTGTTTTCTGTGTCTGTGACTCTATTTCTGTTCTGTAAGTAAGTTCATTTGTATCATTTTTTTAGATTCCACATATAAGTGATATCATATGATATTTGTCTTTCTCTTTCTGACTTACTTCCCTTAGTATGATAATCTCTAGGTCCATCCATGTTGCTGTCAATGGCATTATTTCGTTCTTTTTTATGGCTGAGAAGTATTCCATTGTGTATCTGTACCACATCTACTCTATCCATTCATCTGTCAATGGACATTTAGGTTGCTTCCATGTCTTGGCTACTGTGAATAGGGCTGCCATGGGGAACCACTGTCCTCAGGGATAAAAGGGAGAAATTAGAAATCCTTTATCACCAAGTTTCACTATGCTCCATGATTTTTTGATGAAAATATTTCGATGGCTTTGGTAAGGGCCCTCCAGGAACCTATATGTACCTCTTTGAGCGATAACACGGGACAAAACACAGTGTTAGCAATAAAGGGCTGTGTGCAATGCTCACCATAATTTCCCACTATTCTCAGTTACAATGTGTGTGAACTGCTATGTTTCATGCACTGCATGCCGCGGTCCTCACCTTTTTAAGGTGGCAGGTGAAGGACAGGCAGAAGGTTTTACTGGTGTGTCCCTGGATCATCACCTAGATCAATGCAGCCTCTTTTCTGGAACCATGGAATGATGGGCAAGGTTTGTCCTCCTGACTGAGAACCCTGCAACAAAGAAATAGATATGACCAACCCTACGTCACAGAAGAAGAGGTGCAGGAAGAGTAACTGTCCAACATCACTTAAAGTAGCACAATAGTCTGCAGGGCTGATGGGTGGGCATAAGGCTACTGGGCTGAGGACAGAACAGCGTGGAAAGGCTTTGAGCTAGAAATCAGAGGGCCTGGCTCTGTGAGCTCTTGGGCAATGTAGACCAAGCCCCTTGGTCTCCCCAAACTTCTATTTAATTACTCATAAAATAGTGTTAAGAACTGTCGCCTAGCTCCTTAGGCTGATGCAGAAAGCACGTGGAAAACATCTATGGAAACACTTCATAATTGAGAGAGCATCAATAAAGTGTTTTCTGACTACACAGAGGCAACTAAGTTAAAATAAACACACAGCACATGAAACATAGCTGTTGCATACATTTTAACTAAAAATAGTAGGAAATTATATACTGCATATTCCCTTAAGAATCACTTTTCCCTTACAGTTTAGAAGGTCTTTGGGGGAAATTGTTCAATGGCAATGAGTTTCCAGAAGGTTTTCCAGGATAGTTTGCTTCATTAATTTCTTCATTCAACAAGATTTTATTGAATGGCATCTGTGTGCCAAGTGAAGTGATGTGTCCTTTATTCTTTGTAAATATCTTTATGACAATAACATTCAAACTATTGATGGGGAAATACATACAGAAAGTTCTGTGTAAAACAAGATACAGTTATTTTCCTCCTTCCAAGAACCCATTCAAATGAAAGCAAAGGATATTTAAAAGCAATAAGCCCATAAAAGCATTAAGTTGAGACCTCTCGTGGTAGAAATGAAGCAGACGAATGGGTTTCCCTCCCAGTAAATCCTCGTGAAAGGGAATTTATAGGAATATAGTTCACGTAGAAGGCGTGTGATTTCAGATAAGAGGTCTAAAGAATGCAACAGGAACGGAGGACAAAGAAAGTGTTAAATGAGTGGGGAGATTTCAGGGACCATCAGTTATATAAATTGGTAGTAATAATAACCACTGGGTTTTTAAATTTTGTACAGGTAGATATAAAACCCCATTTGATAGTCACATAAGTCAGGAGCATGAATAGGCTGAATGTTTCCTAAGATCTGTGTATTATCTAGGAGAAGAGTAAAGGTCTTCATACATTTTAAACAATAACTTAATTTTTTACGTTGTAATTTCTAAAGTAACCACTAAAAGAATAATAACAGACAGTATAATTTACAAACCAGTGAATGGGGAAAAAATGGAACAATATAAGAAGAACTCATTAGATGCCAAAAAATGCAACAAAAAAAAAAAAGAGAGAGAGAACACAGACAGCACAAAATAAGATGGCAGAAATAATCCAAATATAACAATTACATTAAGGGTAAATGCAGTAAATGTCTCACTTAAAAGGCCGTCCATTTTTTTTAATCCAATTTACAAGAGATGCAGCGAAAATATATATTTATATACAAACACTAAGCAAATACTAACCAAAAGAGAGTGAATGCCACTAATTAATATCAGATGAAGTAATATAATTCAATCTTGAAATAGAAGGGAATTTTGCCTTTTGCAAAAGTATGAATGGACCTTGAGGGCATTATGCTAAGCGAAATAAGTCAGAAAGAAAAAGACAAATGCTGAATGTTCTCACTTTTATGTGGTATCAAAAAAGCCAAACTCAGAGAAATAGTGAGTAAAACAGTGATCACCAGGGGCTGAGGTTGGGAGAAATAGGAAACGTTGGTCAAAGAGTACAAACTCCCAGCTTTAAGATGCATACATTCTGGGATCAAATTTACACACGGGGACTCTAATGAACAATACTGCATGATATACTTGAAAGTTGCTAAGAGAGCAGATTGTAAATAGTCTCACTACACACACACACACACACACACTAAAAGTGTAACAAGTGAGGGGATAGATGGGTTGACTAACCATTTTTGTGGTAATTATTTGCAATATATACATGCAGAAATCATCACATTGTACACCTTGAACTTACATGTGTTGTATGTCAACGGTATCTCGGTACAGCTGGAGGAAAATAAAAATATAAATAAATAAAAGTAGTGGGTGAGGCACTTCCCTGGTGGCGCAGTGGTTAAGAATGTGCCTGCCAGTGCAGGGGACACGGGTTCGAGCCCTGGTCTGGGAAGATGCCACATGCCGCAGAGCAACTAAGCCCATGCGCAACAACTACTGAGTCTGCGCTCTAGAGCCCACAAGCCACAACTACTGAGTCCGTGTGCCACAACTACTGAGCCTGCATGCCACAACTACTGAAGCCCGTGCGCCTAGAGCCCATGCCCCACAAAAAGAGAAGCCACCGCAATGAGAAGCCCGTGCACCACAGTGAAGAGTAGCCCCCACTCGCCACAACTAGAGAAAGCCCGCGGGAAGCAATGAAGACCCAATGCAGCCAAAATTTAAATAAATAAATAAATAAATAAATAAAGGTAGTAGGTGAAAGTTAAAAAATATGTATCAGATAAAATATAATTTTAGTCAAAGGCATTTTTAGAGACAGATAAGATTGCTAGTGGAATGCCATTTTGGGGCAACGTCCCTGTATTTGACCTGGGTGTTCACAAGAATGTGTCCACTTGTGGCCGTAGGTTTATGATCTGTGCACTTTCTGTACAGGGGAAGCGGGTGCTGCTCTGGCCACTCCGGCCTCAAGTCTCGTTCCCTCCCCAGTGTGGCTAAAAGAGGACTTTCACAAGTCAGACTTGCACTTCGTGAAAAGACAGCATCTGTTCTGTGTCTAAGGTTTGGGATCCTAGAATCTCCCCCAGGTGTCCCTGAAATGCCTTGTATTACCGCTTATTCGGCTTTGCCTAATTAAGACTGCATTTGTGTGCCAACTGCATATGATAATTAAGGGCATAAACCGCCCCCCCCAAAAAAAGCACTAAAAGTGAAAAATAGGCTTCTAAAGTTAGATTTTAAGCCCCTATTTATATAAAAATCTTTTTAAAGAGATATACATGCAGAAAACATTCTAACCCACTGAATTTATAAGGTGATTGAAAGGTACATAATTTGTGGATTGGAGGGCCGCATGCCTTGGTTCTCTTCTCGTTTCATGAGCAGAAAAGTGAGGTCAGAAAATCCAGGACCTGAGCTCTCCTTGCAAGTCCTCCTTCCCCCTTGAGGACATCAGGGCCTCATGGGTGAGCCCCCTCTACCAAGCCCCACCATCCATAAGCAGCGCTGCAAGTGCCCCAGCAGGCACGGTCCTCCCTCTGTAGGAACTGCAATACCAATATGCTTAATCAACACCATTATCAATTGTGCTATAGGTGGCTGTCTCTAGGTACCTGCCTGTAGATGCAGGAAGATGCTCAGACATCACGACAAGGACCCTCGGGAAAGCAACATGCACACTTCAGAACCGGCTGGTTTCAACCAGCTAGGAGGGAGACCAGGGGTCTTTGGGATACCCTGATGGAGGGAAGGGGAGCCCAGGGTGAGTGCAATCATTCTCTTCCTCCCCTGTGTTCTACCAGAGCCCAGGTTTCCAAGAAAGCAGAAAGATACCACAGAAAAAGCCTTTGCGCAGGACTAACTAAACCCAAGTTTACATCCTGACTGTGTCACTTGCTAGTTGGTGATGGACAAGTTACTTCTCTGATCTGCAGTTTTCTCAATCATAAAAATGGGGGAACACTTACCTTAGAGAATTGTTACAAGCGTTAAATACATCCGGGATACCAGGAGCTGGGCTCATCGTAGACTCTCAGCTAAAGCAGGTCTCTCTGCTATTGGCTGATGACAAAGGGCCAGCAGACAGACAACCAACCAGCTTTCCTGAGGGTCCCAACACCCCTTTGGGGATCTCTCCAGACTGAAGACCACTGCCCTCCAAACCCATTCCACATCCCCAGAGCGATCCCTGCCAGCCTGGCTGCTCTCTACCCTAAAGGTAATAGAACTTTCTGTAATCCCGGAAATGTTCTATATTTCCACCACGCAGTAACCCCATGAGGCCACTGAACATGGGCAATGTGACCAGAGCAACTGAGGAACTGAACTTCTCCTTTCCTTCATGTCACTGGAAAGAGCCACATGTGACCAGTGGCTTCTGTTCGGGACCGCTGAATCTTCACGAGCTCCGCTAGCCCCACGTGGTAGCTGGAAGGGTCAGACGAATTCCAGGCAAGGGTAGCCCCGCGTTAATTAAGCAGCTCGTCCAGGGTGACGTCTGCACGAAGTGCTGGATTCCGTGGCTGCGAGTACAGACTTCGGATAAATATTTATTTTTACACTTTCATAAAGCAAGCCATCCTGATTGGACATGAAGCCAAACCCTAGCAGAGCCCAATCTTGATTCGTTGCGTAATTACGTCTAAGACATTTTTGTTTCTATCTGCATTGTTTCATATCCCACGTGTCCAACACACACACACACACAGGCACACACAGGCACACACAGGCACTTGGAACCTCACATGCTTAGCGCTTGGATGTCCCAGCATCTTCCGTCTGCTCTTCAGCTGGTGGCCAGGGCTGCTAAGCAGGCGGGAGCTGGGGTTCTGAGAGCTCGAACCCCGCTCGCCATTAAAAGCTGGGGAGAGTGCCTTTGTCCTGCTTCCTTTCTCAACCCCAGGACCTGCAGGGCCTTCCAGGACTGGCCTGGGCCGGGATGTACTTCTCCGCAACCAGAGTAATTACAAGATTTCGTTTGCTTTAAAGTAAACTGGTTGCCAGCCGCAAAGCGAAGCCTCCACTGTGAGTGAGTGGTCTATCATCTGGCAACTCTGTGAGCTGAGCACGTGCTGGCGCTGTCCTGGGTCGTGGGGTCTGGAGGCGGGCAGCGCAGACAGGGTCTCTACCTTCATGAACCCTCAGGAGGGCCAGGGGGCAACAAACAAGTAATAAATTCCAGGCAGTGATTGGAGTCATCGTGAAAAATAAAGAGGGGTGGTGTGATAGAGAACGACTGGGTAGGGAGGGCTCTCAGGCTCTTCCAGCCGCCATAACGCAATGCCTCGGGCTGGGGGGGCTTAAAGGACAGGCGTTTGTCTTCTCACAGTTCTGCAGGCTGGAAGCCCAAGGTCAAGATGTCAGCAGGGTTGGTTTCTCCTTGGCCTGTAGATGGCTGTCTTCTCCCTGTGTCCTCACGTGATCTTTCCTCTGCACGTGTCTGTGTCCTAATCTCCTCTTCTCGTAAGGACACCAGCCAAGTTGGATTAGGGCCCATCCACAGGATCTCATTTTAACTTCATCATCTCTTTACAGACCCGTGTCTCCAAATAGAGTTCCATTTGTAGGTACACATGAATTTGGCGAGGTGTAGGGGGCCCAGAGTTTCAGCCTACAGCAGAGTTTTAGATAGATGTTATTTGAGGCAGTATGGGAGGCGAAGAGGGAATCAGTTTGCCGTGGACCTAGGGGTAGACGAGGTCAGGCTGACTTCTGAACTTCACCTCTTGGCGGTAACAGATGAACAGAGCTGTGGTGATCAGCCTGGTCCCTGAGGTCAATTTCCTCCATCATCCCTGTCTCCGGAGGGAGATGGTGAACCACGTCTCCCACTGTGGAGGCCAGAGGCTGCCTGCAGAGAAAGGGCTGGAGGGAGGATGTCACAGAAAAGGCACACATACCAAATTGCCCTGGGCTGAGGTCTTGGAAACCATCCCGCTTCTTTGTTGCTTAAAGTCTAAAGAAAAAAAACTGGCCCCCAGCAGTGCTTGGCTTTGGTTAAGTTTCACTAGGAAATGCATGCATTTTAGTACCCTTCACTAAAAGCTGAAGGAAGGGAACTTCCAGACACACCAGAGAAAGACCTCAAATGTTGCTGCAAGCATCAGGGGAGCACTGAGGGGGTGCAGGGAGAGAGGGTCTCCGAGGTGCCAGAACCACGTGCTGAACGGACACCACAGCGTGGAGCCCAACGGTGCCCACTGGGCCCCCTCAGAACTGCAGCCCAGAGGGAATTCCCCCAACCAAGAGAAAAGGGAGAATCACTCCCAGTGGTTTTGCCATTTGGGGAAGAGGTATATGTTCATTTTGCTGGTTGGAGAGGATGACAAGCAATCAGAGTGGGGCTTCCCAAGCCCTGGGGGCACCTAAAGCTGAAATACCATCCCCACATCCCCACTGCGGGGTGTGGCGGGAACCACAGCGCTGTTCAGAATCACCGCCTGCAGTGGTTAACAGCAGTACTAAGTTCAGGGTGATTTGTAGAGCAAAATCTAATGCAGTCATAGAAAAATCCCTGTACAGTCCTCCAAGTTTGCTCTTCATGCAGCTTCCAGCTGAAAGGAGAGGACTCTGAAGGTCTAGAGGAAGGAGGAGATACAAGAAGGAAGAAGCTGGTCCCTGAGTCACCAGGTGAAGCAGAGTCTTCCCTCCCCTCCCCCAACCCACACAGGACTAACATGAGCAAGAAATGAGGGCTTCCCTGGTGGCGCAGTGGTTGAGAGTCCGCCTGCCAATGCAGGGGACACGGGTTCGAGCCCTGGTCCAGGAATATCCCACATGCTGCAGAGCAACTAGGCCCGTGAGCCACAACTACTGAGCCTGCGGGTCTGGAGCCTGTGCTCTGCAACAAGAGAGGCCGCCACAGTGAGAGGCCGGCGCACTGTGATGAAGAGTGGCCCCCATTTGCCACAACTAGAGAAAGCGCTCGCACAGAAACGAAGACCCAACACAGCCAAAACTTAATTAATTAATTAAAAAAGAAAAAAGTGAAATGAACATGTCTTCTGTCAAGGCCCCCAGGTAAGATGGCAAAAGAGTACCCAGGATCTTTCAGACCATGAACATGGTATATCCCTCCATTTTATTTAGGTCTTCTTTAATTTCTTTCATTAATGTGTTTTAAATTTCAGAGCAGGTTGTTTGTAATATTTTCTTGTTACCCACTTAATGTTTTTATGATCTGTAGTGATGTTCCCTCTTTCATTCCTAATTGGTAATTTGTGTCTACTCTCAATCCAGATAAAGGTTTGTCAATTTTATTGATCTTTTCAAAGAAACCGCATTTGGTTTTTTTGTTTTTTTCTATTGTTTTTTCATGTTGTATTTTATTGATTTCCCTACTGATCTTTATTATTGCCTTCCTTCTACTTACTCAGTATTTAATTTTCTCTTCATTTTTAGCTTCCTAAGTTGGAAGCATAGTTCACTGATTTTAGAACTGTCTTCTTTTATAACATAAGCTTTTAAAGCTATAGATTTTCCATATAACCACTGCTTTGGCTACATCCCACAAATTTGAATATGTTGTGTTCTCTGTTTCATTGTTTGATGCATTTTCTAATTTTCCTTGTGATCTCTTCTTTGACTCATAAGTTAGTTAGAAGTGTGTTTAGTTTCCCCGTATATTAGGATTTCTCAAATTTTGTCTGTTGTAGATTCCTAAAGTTATTTCCATTGTCATCAAAGAGCATGCTATATATGATAATAATCTTTTTAAATGTACAGACATTTGAAATGTTTTATCATCCAGCATAGAGTTTATTTTGTAAACATTCCATGTACATTTGAAAACAAAAGGTATTCTGCTGTTGTTGGGTGAAGTGTTCTATAGATGTCAGTTTGGTCAATTTGTTTGATAGTGCTGTTCAAGTTTTCTGTTCTTACTGTTCTACTTGTTCTATCACTTACTGAGAGAACAGTATTGATATCTTCAGCTATAATTATTGGTATTTCTATTTTGTCTTTCAATTCTGTCAGTTTTTACTTTATGAATTTTGGAGCTTTCTTTTAGGTACAAATAAATTAATAATATTTCATTTCTTTCTCTTGTATTGACACTTTTATCATTATAAAATACTCTGTCTCTAGTAATATTCATTTTTTTAAAGTCTATTTTGTCTGACATTAATAAAAAATCATTCATCTCCCTTCTGATTATTGTTTATGTATTTGCCTCCTATATATTATTCATCCATTTACTTTAACCTCTTTATGTCTTTGAACTTAAAGTGATCTCTTATAGGCAACAGCTCTCTCTTTTTTCCAGTCTGACAGTTTCTGTCTTTTGATTGGAATTTTTAGTTCATTCCCATGGTTATAAGTCTGCCTTTAGCTATTTTTTTCTTATTTGTCTCATCTTTCTCTCTTTTTAATCCCTGTTACTCCTGCATTTTTATATTAAACAAATATGTTTTTGTATTTCATTTTAATTCTTGTATTAATTTTCAAATTTTTTAAAAAATTTTATTTTGTTTTAGCTGCATTGCGTCTTCATTGTTGTGCAGGCTTTCTCTAGTTGCAACGAGCGGGGGCTACTCTTCATTGCGGTGCACAGGTTTCTCATTGTGCTGGCTTCTCTTGTTGCGGAGCATAGGATCTAGGCGTACGGGCTCAGTAGCTGTGGCTCGCGGGCTCTAGAGCGCAGGCTAAGTAGTTGTGGTGCAAGGGCTTAGCTGCTCCACGGCATGTGGGATCTTCCCAGACCAGGGATCGAACCCATGTCCCCTGCATTGGCAGGCAGATTCCCAACGACTGCACCACCAGAGAAGTCCCTGTATTGACTTCTTAGCTATATTTCTTTGCATTAATTTTAGTGCTTTACCTAAGTATTACAATATACATCTTTTATTTATCACCATCTATTTCAAGTTAATACTGACTAACTTCAAATAAAATGTAGGAACTTTGCATTTATATAACTCCATTCCCTTTTGTGCTATTTTTTGTGCTATTGTGGTCATATATATAATCTTTATATGTTAAAGCCCAACAATGTAGTATTATAATTTTTGCTTCCAATAGTCATATGTCTTTTTTAAAAAAGTAATAGAAGAAAAAAATGTATTATTTCCATTTGGGGTATTCTTTAGTCCTTCTTGAATCTAAGTTACTATACAAGTTACCATCCAATGTCACCTCTCTTTAGCAGTTCTTTTAGCACAGGTTTGCCAGCAACGAATTCTCTCAGTTTTATTTTCTCTCTCTCTTTTTAACCTAGAAATGGTTTTATGTTTTGTCTTCAGTTTTGAGAGACGGTTTTATTGGTTATAGCTTTTTATTTTCTTTTATCATGTCACTAAACAGAATAGGCAATCACTAAAAAAGAATAGGAAGCCACTGTTCTTTCACAGAAAATGCAGCAAATTCATAAAGTATTTTAGGCTTTCAATGTCCTTTGGCTTCTGTTATTTCTATGAAAAGTCAGCAGTAAATTATATTGTTGTTCCCTGTGTAGAATGTAACATTTTTTTTTTTTTTGCTCTCTTAAAAATGATTTCTTGGGACTTCCCTGGAAGTCCAGTGGTTAAGACACCATGCTTCCACTGCAGGGTTTTGATCCCTGGTCGGGGAACTAAGATCCCACATGCCACAGGGCATGGCCAAAAAATAGAAAAAAAAATGATTTCTTTACTTCTAGCTTTTGGCAGTTTGATCATGAGGTATTTTCTTTTTGTTCTTTGGATTAAATTATTTCTATCATTCTATGAAATTCAGCAATTCTTTCTTCTCACATCCCAAATAAACTCATGCCATGAATTTTTCATTTCAGTTAGTACAGTTTTAAGCTCTAGAATTTCCACTTGCTTCTTTTTTCCATTTCTCTGTTGAGATTCTTTATTTGTTTATTTGTTGTTGGCATAGTTTCCTCGAATATTTTGAATATATATATTTTTTAACATCTTTATTGGAGTATAATTGCTTTACAATGGTATGTTAGTTTCTGCTGTATAACAAAGTGAATCAGCTATACATATACATATATCCCCATATCTCCTCCTTCTTGTGTCTTCCTCCCACCCTCCCTATCCCACCCCCTAGGTGGTCAGAAAGCACCGAGCTGATCTCCCTGTGCTATGCGGCTGCTTCCCACTAGCTATCTATCTAGTTTACTGCTTTGAAGACTTCGTCTGCTAGGTGTAAGTCTGAGCTGACTCAGAGTCAGTTTCTATTGAATGATTTCCCTCCTTCCTTCCCTCCCTGGGTATGGAAAATACTTTACGTTTTCTTTGCCTGTCTAATAATTCTTTATTTAAAACCAGACATTGTAGGCAATATGTTGCAGCAATTCTGGATTCTGTTTTGCTCTTCTGAGGGCTCTTATCTTTAGCAGACAAGTAACTTGCCTGGATTCAACCTGAAAATCTATCTCACTTTCAATGGACAGCCACTGAAATCTCTGCTCATTTTTTTTAAGGGGGTGGGGTCTGATTCTTAGGGGTTTCCCCTTCACCTGCATGATTTTATAGTCACGCAATGATTTAGGCAGAGATTATGCTCAGACACTTCAAGCCAGTAAGTCTTCCGCTCTCCGCTGCCTAAGCTATGTGTGGACTGAGGCGTGTTCTCAAAAGTGCAGTAAAGTCACACATCTCCCAGGCTTTCGATTTTTGCTAGACCTCCTGCGGTTCCCATGTGCCTGCACTGTCTAGCAGTCAACCAGCAATGTGTGGAGAGACTTCCGTCTGTGCTCTTCCTTGGCTCTCTCACTTCCAAAATCCCACCCTTAAATTTCTAGCTGCTCTGTCAACTCCCTGAATCAAATCTGTCAAGTCCAGCTGGTAAAGTTGTAAGTTTTCCTCACCCAAGTTGGGTGAGATGGAAATGCCTCCAGACTAGAAGGCCACAGACTCACCACTCTTACCCAATGTTGTAACAATTTTCATGGGTCAATTCTTCTCAAGTTGTTGCCTATCTTTTGTCAATTTCCAGTGACCTGAAATGATTGTCTTTAATAATTTTGTCAGTTTTGTACTTATTTTCTGCAGAGGGAAGTCACTTGATTTTCTTTCACCACGATTACCAGAGATAGCCCCTAGATTTTATCTTAAATGGAACAGGAAGTTACTGAAAGGACTCAATCTACAAAGTGACATGAGTCAGCTTTGTATTCTTAAGTGCGCACTCTGACTGCTGTGTGGAAAATCAATTGGTGGGAGAGAGTTCCAGTCAGGATGAGTTCCAGGGACAGGTCACAAGAAACACAACGCATTTAGCTAAAACAATGAAAGCGATTTGTTGTCACATAACTAAAAAGTCCAGAGGTACGACAGTGCAGCTGGGGCCAAATATTCATGATGTCTTCAGAAGCAGTTGTTTCTCTGGGATGCCCCTGGGTCTGTCTCAAGCCCTCATGGTAGTGAGGTGTGTGTCAGAAGCCTACAGGCTCATGTATCGTCATTTATTTCCAAGCAGAGGGATCTTCTCTTTCTTCAACCATTGAGCAAGAACCCTGGGCTTCTCTCTGGTTGGGTCAATATGCTCAGTCTTAGACTAATCGCCATAACCAAAGAATTCAACGTGCAGATGGCTTTGATTGATCAGAATCAATCCCACCCAGTTCCCACATAGCTGGGAATTTCTGGATCCCATTAGTAAGGGTGGAGGGCTAAGTGGAGGCTGAGGAAGCTCCAGGGTACCAGAGTGGAGAAGCCCTGATTCCATTCTTCATTACCAGAGGTATTAGTCAGCTTGGGCGGCCATAACAAAATACCACAGACTGGGGGCTTAAACAATAAAAAAAAATATTTTCTCACACTTCTGGAAGCTGGAAGTCCAAGACCAAGGCATCAGCAGGGTGAGTTTCTGGTGAAGCCTCTCTCCTTGGCTTGTAGACGGCCACCTTCTCCCTGTGTCCTTACACGGCCTTTCTCTGTGCACGTGCATAGAGAAGGAGAGAGCTCTGGTGTCTCTTCCTCTTCTTAAGAGGACCCCAGTCTTTGTGGATTAGAGCCCACCCTTATGACCTCACTTACCTTAACTATCCTTAGAAGCCCAGTCTTCAGATACAGTCACATTGGGGGTTAGGGCTTCAATGTATGAATTAGGGGGTGAGTGGGGGGGACACAGTTCACTCTAACATCAGACAAGAAGCAAGGCTTTGGACCACCACTGCTCTCCTCCATCCTGGCCAACACAGCTGCAGAAGATCAGCAATGAGACCACACTCTAGCCCAGAGGCTTTGCAGTGGACTCCCAGGCCAGCCTGGTAGGGAAAGGAGGAAGGGAGAGTCACAAAACCCAGCGATTCTAGTAAATATTCCACTCAGTTAAGACTGAAGACTTGGGAAAATAAATCTTTCTTTGGTAATGAAGGGATTAAGATAGTAGTTGCCGGCTGTGACGCAAATGCAGTGGCCGTATCCCAAGAACTGTACGTTCAAGCTCCAAACCATCCGTAAGTCACGGGGAGAAATGGTAAATGAAAATGAAAAACAAAACCTTATCTTAAAAAATAACTCATTTTTTAACCCACGTAAGAAGTTATAAATATAATTGGATTTACTCACTTGCAATGCGTCACTGGAGTGGCAGCCTGAGGACTGCTCTCCACACCATGGAAATGTGTATCCTCAGCAGCCTCCAGTCTCCCTCTCTGCACTTTCTTTCCATTCCTCCCCAAGGGCTGAGTACAGAATTATCCTTCCCTGACTACCTATAACTCCTTTTGCAGGCCTGCCCTGCAGGGCAATTGTTCTCCCTCATTGCTATGGGCTAATTTTTGTGTCCCCCTCCCCCAAATTCACATATTGAAGCCCTAGTCCCCAGTGTGATGGTGTCTGAAAATGGGGCCTTTAAGAGGTAATTAGGGGACTTCCCTGGTGGTGCAGTTGTTAGGAGTCTTCCTGCCAATGCAGGGGACACGGGTTTCAGCCCTGGTCCAGGAAGACCCCACATGCCATGGAGCAACTAAGCCCATGTGCCATAACTACTGAGCCTGCGCTCTAGAGCCTGAGAGCCGCAACTACTGAGCCCACGTGCCACAACTACTGAAGCCCATGCGCCTAGAGCCCGCGCTCCGCAACAAGGGAAGCCACTGCAATGAGAAGCCCGCGCACCACAACGAAGAGTAGCCCCCGCTCGCTGCAACTACAGCAAGCTTGCGCGCAGCAACAAAGACCCAATGCAGCCAAAAATAAATAAATAAATAAATTTATTGTTTAAAAAAGAGGTAATTAGGTCATGAGAGTGGAACCCTCGTGATAGGATTAGTGCACTTATAAGAAGATACACAAGAGCTTGCTTCCTCCCCCTCTCTCTCTCTCCCTCTCTCTCTGCCGTATGAATATCCAAGGAGAAGACAGCTATCTGCAAGCCAGAAAAAGAGTCTCATCATTAACCAAGCCAACTAGCATCTTGATCTCGGATTTCCCAGCCTCCAGAACTTTAGGTACATTTCTGATTTTTAAATCAGTCAGTCTGTGGTCATCTGTCGTGCAGCCTGAGCTAAGACACTCAACACAGTTCCTCCTGTCCCACACAGCCCCAGTCCTCAGGGCACAGGACTGTCACCCTGCCAGCCGTCCACCTAACAGGAGCCTCTTTGGCTGGACACCTCTAAACCCAGTGGAGTCCGTTCTCATTATTCGTGTTAGTAGTAAACTTGCCATAAACACTGGATCAGTGAGTGCTGAGCCATTGCCCTAGGGGAGATGTAAACCCATGGATGGTATGTATATACCAATCTCACACAGATCACAATCTGTAATCTTAAAAACAACTCATCCAGGCAGATCCTATTTTCTTTATTTTACAAAAGAGAAAACAAAGGAGGCTCAGAAGTGTTGAGTGAGTTGCCTGAGGCCATCCCACTAATGGGTTCCAGAGTTGGGATTCAACCCCATCCAGCTGGCCCCAGAGCCAGAGCTTCTTACTCTGCACTGCACTGTCTGCTCCCGGCTCCACCCTCTGGTCATCTCTGTATGATGCCGAGGCAAGGAGGCAGAGCATCACTTGGTTCAACCTCAGCTGGAAACATGTGCATCAGGCAACTCAAATTTTTTGTTGCTCTGCGCATGGCCACACAAAGGACCAAAAAAGTATTGGGAGTATTTGGGGCTTACAAATAAATTTTAGTGAATAGGCAAATAATGAGGATTGGCTGTACTTTTCTGCTACTGTTAACATGTAATAGCCTAGACAAAAGTTAGCTTTGTGAGGAAAACGTCTGCATGTGGGGCTGTTCCTGTGTTTGCTTGTTCAGAACTGGGAATCTGGGGGTCAGATCCATGCATCCATCAGGTCAGTCCCTTAAGGGCCACAAACTCTGTGAAGACAGAAACTGTCTACCTTGCCCGTTGCTGCATCCCGAGCACCTGGAAGTAAGAACATGCTGAATGGTGGACAGAGGGAGATGAATGACAAGGTTTGGAATTAGTGCTTTAACTTGGGTCTTTACGAAGATTAAACAAGATTTGCTGGGCATGGGCTTCCCTGGTGGCGCAGTGGTTAAGAATCCGCCTGCCAATGCAGGGGGACACGGGTTTGAGCCCTGGTCTGGGAAGATCCCACATGCCGCGGAGGAACTAAACCCATGTGCCACAACTGCTGAAGCCCACGTGCCTAGAACCTGTGCTCCACAGCGAGAGAAGCCACTGCAATGAGAAGGCTGAGCACTGCAACAAAGAGTAGCCCCCGCTCACCGCAACTAGAGAAAGCCCGTGCGCAGCAACATAGACCCAACGCAAACAAAATTAAAAAAAAAAAAAAAGAATAATATTAGGAAAAAAAAAAGATTTGCTGGGCATCCTGAACACACACACTGAAATGAGATCCAAACCAGACATGTTTAAGAATGAAACAGAGTGGGTCTTTTTTTATAGGTCATTGGTTTGGGTTTTTTTCCCCCTAGTTATAAAAGTAATTCATGTTCAATGTTGAAAAAAATTTAAGTAGAAAACAAAAAACTACCAAATCTCCACCACCCAAAAACAGTTCTAAAATTTAAGTAAATATTCTCCTTTCTGCCCACAGTTTCTTGCAGTTTGACTCAGGTGTGTTTTCCTCGTAGATCCCTGCACCCCGGCCTCCCTCCAGCACTCCCTGCTTCGTGCCTCAGAGAATGGATGACATGCCAGAGCTCAGAGAACAGGAGTCAGGCTGTGGCATCTTGAGTTCTAAAATGTGAAGTCGGGCTTCCCTGGTGGTGCAGTGGTTGAGAGTCCGCCTGCCGATGCAGGGGACACGGGATCGTGCCCCGGTCCGGGAAGATCCCACATGCCGCGGAGTGGCTGGGCCCGTGAGCCATGGACGCTGAGCCTACGCGTCCGGAGCCTGCGCTCCGCGACGGGAGAGGCCACAACAGTGAGAGGCCCGCGTGCCGCAAAAAAAAAAAAAAGGCTGAGGATCATATTTTTAGTGCCCAGATTTTTAATTATTTTTTCAAAAAGACACATGCACCGCAATGTTCATAGCAGCATTATTTACAACAGCCAAGATATGGAAGCAATCTAAGTGTCCATCAACAGACGAGTGGATATAGAAGATGTGATAGATAGATATGTGTATATATATATATATATATATATATATATGCAATCCCACTCCTGGGCATACATCTGGAGGAAACTCTTATACACACACACACACACACACACCATATACAATGGAATATTACTCAGCCATAAAAAAGAATGAAATTCTGCCATTTGCAACAACATGGATGGACCTGGAAGGTATTATGCTTAGTGAAATAAGTCAGATAGAGAAAGATAAATACTGTATGTTATCATTTATATGTGGAATCTAAAAAATAAAGCAAACAAATGAATATAACAAAATAGAAACAGACTCACAGATATAGAGAACAAACTAGTGGTTACCAGTGGGGAGAGGGAAGTGGGGGGCAAGAGAGGGGCAGGGGAGTAAGAGGTACAAACTACTATGTATAAAATAAATCAGCTACAAGGGTATATGGTACAGCACAGGGAATATAGCCAATATTTTATAATGACTTTAAATGTAGTATAATCTATATACATTTTGAATCACTATGTTGTGTACCTGAAACTAATATAATATTGTAAATCAACTATACTTCAATTAAAAATTAAAAGAAAAAACACATAAAATAAATAAGCCATGAGGATGTTATACACAGTCTAAGGAATATTGTGAATAATACTGTAATAATTTTCTGTGGGGACAGAAGGTTACTAGACTTATCGTGATCATTTCACAGTGTATGCAAATGTCAAATCACTATGTAGTACACCTGAAACTAACAAAATATTGTATAGTAACTATATTTCAATAAAAACCCTAGTTCTTTTTATTCCACACCTTGTGATCTCTAATGAACAGATTTTTCCCCACACTTAAAGATCTGTAAATTAAAATACATTTTAATTTAAAATATATTTATTGAAAATATCTGTGTATAAGTGGACCCATGCAGTACACACACATGCATGTGACCTTCTTCCTTTTCAAAGCTGCCCTGCACTTACCAAGTGTGTTCTGATATTTCTATTCTCACGCTTGCACTTTCACAGACATCTCTGCTCCCGCCCATGAGTTCTCCAAAATCCTCCCAGAGCACCCTGCCCTCACCCTCCGAGGTCTTCCCTCGCAGTGAGGTCCACACAGACAGCCCCGTTTCTAGGTAGACAGTCATACATGTCGTAGGGCTCTGCAAACATCCAAGAGCAGAACAGACGGCTTTCAGCTGAGCAGCTGGGGGCGGCTTTTGGAAAAGGCAGCATGTAGTTGAGTTTTGAAGAAAGGGGGTGATAAGGTGAGAAAGATAAGGTAGATCTAGACTGTTCAGGAGCCTGAAAGGGGACCAGATATTTGGAGTGTATCTTATAAACAAAGGGCTCCCACAGAAAAAAGAACCTTCATACACTGTTGGTGGGAATGTAAACCAGTGCAGCCACTATGGAGAACAGCATGGAGGTTCCTTTAAAAACTAAATATAGGGGGCTTCCCTGGTGGCGCAGTGGTTGGGAGTCTGCCTGCCGATGCAGGGGACACGGGTTCGTGCCCCGGTCTGGGAGGATCCCACATGCCGTGGAGCGGCTGGGCCTGTGAGCCATGGCCGCTGAGCCTGCACGTCCGGAGCCTGTGCTCCGCAGCGGGAGAGGCCGCAGCGGTGAGAGGCCCGCGTACCACAAAAAAAAAAAAAAAAAAACTAAATATAGGGCTACCATATGATCCTGCAATCCCACTCCTGGGCGTATATCTGGAGAAAACTCTAATTCGAAACGATACATCCACCCCAGTATTCATTGCAGCACTATTTACAATAGCCAGGACATGGAAGCAACCTAAATGTCCATCAAAAGATGAAGGGATAAAGAAGACGTGGTACATAAATACAACGGAATATTACTCAGCCATAAAAAGGAATGAATTTGTGTCATTTGCAGAGACGTGGAAGGACCTAGAGACTGTCATACAGAGTGAAGTAAGTCAGAAAGAGGAAAAACAAATATCGTATATTAATCATATATGTGGAATCTAGAAAAATGGTATAGATGATCTCATTTGCAAAGCAGAAACAGAGGCACAGGTGTGACGAACAAACATTGGATACCAAGGGGGAAAGGGGCAGGGGTGGGATGAATTGGGAGACTGGGGTTGACATATATACACTATTGATACTATGTATAGAGTAGATTACTCAGTGCTCTGCAGTGACTTAAATGGGAAGGAAATCCAAAAAAGGGGACATATGTATACGTAAAGCTGAGTCACTTTACTGTATGGCAGAAACTAACACAACATTGTAAAGCAACTATACTCCAATAAAAATTAATTTAAAAAATAAAAGCCAACTTCAAAAAAAAAGAAGAACTGGGCTCCCACGTCCATGCGGATGTGGGTGGGGGAGGGGAAATGGAGGTGCCCAGGCTGAGAAGGAGACCAACGTGGTGACACGGTGAGCCTTCCGCTCACCTGAGACCCGATTCTCTCCGACGAGGCTCGTCTAAGAAGAGGCGACTGGATATTTAGGAGGCGCTGAACCTGGTCAGCTAGTGGTCTGACTGCGGCGTGCATCTCAACAGACTATTGCTCCAGAAGCGCGAGAGGGCAGAGGACAAGAGAGGGGGTGGGAGCTTCAGGGAACAGCAAGGCTGGAAGAAGCCTGGAGAGTTCTAAAGCAGGGCAGAAGTAACCACGTTTGCTGATGGAAGGACAGCATCCCGGGGAGAGAAACAGAAAAAGGATTTAGTCAAAAATCTAACCAGATCATGAGTCCAAAAGCAGAAATCCTTTTGTGATTGTAAATAACATTTCCAATTTTTTAAATTAAAAAGACTGCATCCGTTTAAAGTCCAACCGTTTCTGTGAACTTGCAGCCGTAACTGCAGGGCTTTTTAGCCTTTTCTCAGGATGCCTTTAAAGTGCACTGCACATGTGAGGATTCAGATGTAAATTCCCCGCTTCCCTTGAAATAAATATGCTTTGAGCTATTTTGGTATCAGTCATGTTTAATATCGGTTTCACACTGTATAGATGTGAATCTATGAACCATCTCACATTTTAATATTAAGAGACAGAGCAGATGGCTGAGTTATTAATATGTGTTTAAATCCAGCACTCCAGCCTTTGGAAAACGTGCGCGGGATTTCTGAGTAATCACCGGCCATGCTCAGCAGTCTGGCAGCCACATGGCAACCCGAAAAGCGTGTTGTTTTGTTATAAACGTCAAAGGCCCAGGCTTGACCCGGTGGAGACAGGCACCACCCAGAGCATTCACTGGAGCAAGACCTCCATGGGGAGCTCGGAGTCCAGGGGTCAGAGGCCTAGGCCTTGCCTGCACCTCGAGGACAGGGCAGCCGGGGTATCTGCTCCTCCTGGGGCCTCTCAAAGCTGGAGGCATCCTGGGAGCAGAGAGAGAAACCCCACCTCTCCATGGGCAAGCCCAGAAGCCAGCCTGGCCGGTCAGGCCTGCAGAGAGGCTTGGTCTTGGCAGGCCGGCTGGCACTCGGCACTGGCCGTCAGGTCTACTGCCAGGCCTAGTGGGTGATGCTGTCTGGATTCAGACTCGAGGTGGAGGGTAGGCAAGCCCTGGGACGGCCACCCTGGCACTTCGGCCGCTCCTGGCTGGGCCCCACCGGTCTCGTCTCAGGAGTTGACGTGCCCACCAGACGGACTTCCAAATACCCTTTTGCCGTCGAGAGCCCAGTTTTGCTGCCAGGTCTCTGATCGGCGGTATATCTTACCCTTCACTAAACGCCTGCAGACATCCTCAGCCTGGCAGTGTGTGAGCCACAGCCTACGCGGCCTCTAATTCCCTTTCCACTAGGACCTGAGACTTGGACCCTTGCTCTGTCTGCCCAGCCAACTGCCCACGCTTTTCAAACTGTTGCAGCAGGAAACGGGTTCCTACAGAGACTGCCGTGTTCACACCAGGGAGGGACATCAGCAGAGCCAGGCCCGGAGCTCCGAGCACGTGGCCCGCAGGCAGGCACCTGTGATGGGAACCCTCGGGCAGAGCTTGGAGAGGCCAGCACTGGGCAGCCTTGCCGTGTGTCACCCTGGCCTGGCCAGAGGCCGCCAGCCGACGTCCAAGCGCCCCAGCTGTGGCTGAGATGGAGCTGCCGAGGCTGGGAACCTGGCGCTTCTGGACGCTTTCCCTCCCAGCAAGGTGGAGCGCAGGCTCCGGTGGCAGCAGGGTTTCCGGTCTGCTGGGTGGTTCCAGCCGCGAGGCCCCCAGGGCTTCGCCTCCCCAGCCCCGGGCAGGGCAGGTTGGCAGGATTGAATCCACTCCTTACCAGGGCCCAAGGCTGTTCTACTCAACTCATTTGTATTGTCAACTAGGCTCTTCCTAGGCCTGTTTCAAGAGTGATATGATATCAGGGGAGGGATAACTTAGGAGGTTGGGATAAACACATACACACTACTATATACAAAATAGATAACCAACAAGGACCTACTGTATAGCACAGGGAACTATACTCAATATTTTGTAATAACCTATAATGGAAAGGATCTAAAAAAGAAGATATATAGATATATATAGATATGAATCACTTTACTGTACACCTGAAACTAACACAACATTGTAAATCAACTATCAATATAGTCCAATAAAATTTTTTTAAAAAAAGAAACAAGGGACTTCCCTGGCAGCCCAGTGGTTAAGACTCTGTGCTTCCAGTGCAGGGGGTGCAGGTTCGATCCCCGGTCAGGGAACATGCCGCACAGTGTGGGAAAAAAAAAAGAGACACACACACACATACAAAACAACAACAGCAACAAAAAGAATGATGTGAAATGGCAAACATAACCCTGCCTAGGCAACGTCACATACAGTGTGAGGATTTAACAAGCATTAGTCCCCTGTGCTCTGGTTAATCGCAGTAGCTTCTTTTTAGGAGGGAATTCAGGTGGAAGGGGAGTAGACGCATCTCCAAATGGCACCGAGGATGGAGAAAGGAGAGGGGGGTTTAGTTCATTCTGTTCATCGTTTTTCTAAATAAGCAAGTCTGATGTTCCTGGCTGGAAGTTATCATTTCCCACAAGGAACAACACTGACCTGGCTTCGTTGGAAACCGTCCCCTCCCACCCCCGTCTCGGCTCTGCTGGAGGAAAAGCCAGGACAGCCCAGATAACTCTGCAGGGAACTCAGGATCGCCTTTGCCAGACATATTAACAGTCATCAACATGATTTGACTTTCAGCTCCCCTTCTTTGCGTTTCCGAGGCACTAATGAAGAGCGACACTGCCGTGGGGTTTCACAAATTATAAAATATAATTTGCAGATTATGCCGAGACAGGGCTCCTCTTTGTGGCCATAATGGAGTGTATTTAAGCAGCGTCAGGCAGTGCTTTGTTAAACAGGTCATGAGATGGGGAGCTGGGGACAGTGTTCATATTGCAAAATGGTTGTGGCGGCCGTATTTAATGGGAGGGGGTGGACCACAGACTGGATTACCAGCACCGAGACATTCTAAAGTTGGATGATTAGCTCAGAGCTGCACAGACGTGGGCGGCATGGCATGCAAACTGAGTTCCTCCTGTTATTGGAGGCTCTCGACCAAGCCGAATCTGAGTTGTTCTTGAGCCCTGATTTATCTGGAAAGTCCCAAAGGGGAATCCAAGCTGCATCACTCGTCCCACTTCCCTAAGCACCCAGAATTCCAGGCCGCTCTTTCTCTTTTCATCTTTCTCACACCTTCCCCTTCTCTCTGCCCTCTCCTCTGCCCAAATGAAGATCGCGAAACTTTACAACTCAGAAATGAGTCTCCATTGCATTGAAAAGACAGAAATCAGAATTAGAAGTAATCGTTTGTGTACGTTCTGCTGTTTACTTTTCTTCAGAAACCACCACCATTCACATTCGTGATCCACAAATCCTAAACCTCAGAACAATTATTGATCTGTTACCCTTTATGAATCTCCGTGCAAAGTAAGGACTATGTAACTCATTCAACCAACCACCACACAGAGAAATCCAACCTCAGTTTCCTTGATGTGTCTTCAGCATGAAGCCCAGGTAACAGTCCTTCCTGCTTCAAGCACCTTCTTCACAGGCTTCCAGGAAACCATGGTCTCCCAGCTCCATCCTCCTTTACCGGCGGCCCTTCTCGGTCTCCTGGGATCTCCCTGACCACTGACACTGCAGGGCCCCGCGGCTCAAACCTCAGTCCCTTGTACACATTGCCCGGTGATCTCACCCAGCCCCAAGGCACTAAATGGTCCCTTTGCCGATGACTCCCATCTTTAGCCGCCAGCCGGGACCTGTCTCCCAAACCCCAGCCGGTGTCCAACTCAACATCTCCACCTGAACACCCAGCTGACACCTCAAACTTATACCCAGAACCACACTGAGCTTCTCTCCTTAACCTGCAAGCAGCCCCGCCTCGGCTGATGTAATCCCACTCTACTAGGTGCTCAGAACACAGACCTGGGGTTCACCCTGGCTCCTCCATCCATCCAAGCTGTTAGCAAATCCTACTGGTCAGATTGCTCAGTGGCTGGAGGGGCAGTGTAGATGCGAGGAGAATACGATTGGGAGAGAAGTCTCACACATCTGCACTTGTTAAGAGCAGAGATGCTATCTTTTCAAGGCTGTTTGTAGAGCAGACGGTCTTGGAAGACAGAGGTGGTGTCTCCTGGAGCAAAGGGCAAATCTGCTTAACGTCCAGTGAAATAATGTTTCCTACAGAGAAAAGACAGGTTTGCTTGCCGTCCATCATAAAAGATCTGGATTCCCTAAGCCTGAGGGTCCTCAGTGGTGACGCAGACCCACTGCGATCACAGTATCCACCTGGATGGTTCTGCATCATCCTTGTAGGACTTGACGGGGGCAGGTGAAACTGATACAAACAAGAAGCACAGGCTTCATGCTATGCTGTAATACAGTCCTTTGTCCCTATCCCAGGGTCTCAAGTCTATACCAGGATCCAGGACATTGTGGCAGGCTTCCCTGTAAGTTTGCAAGTCAGCAAAATCCCTGACCCTTCACAGTTGTTGACAGTGTGATGTTTGGAGCATGGAGCAAACTATGATTATATACATAGAGGGAATTCGTGGTTAGGGCTCCACGCTTCCACTGCAGGGGACATGGGTTCGATCCCTGGTCAGGGAACTAAGATCCCGCAAACTGTGCAGCACAGCCAAAAAAAAAAAAGATACCTAGAAAACCCACAGTGTTTTAAGGGTGTTGTATTTCGGGCACTCATCTTTCTATGAATCAGAAAGCTACAGAGCTGCTAACAAAGCCCATTTCTTTGAGAGTAGACAAGGCATGAGATGAAAAAGGACACCTTAGATAAAGGCTGAGAATGAGACTGAAGAGGCTCTGCCAGAGGACAGAAACTGGGCCTCGTCAAGGAACACTTCTCACTCCCAGGGGAGGGGAGCTGGGCACTATTTGCCCAGCGGAATTTCAGAGTCGGTACAGACCAACGCCTACGGTCTATGTCCTAGTCTTTCCTAGCCGTTTCAAGTGGAAGCACTTCCTGCAGATGGCCTGTCCCTGTCTCACCGCTGTGCACTGGGTGTGTAGAGAACAGACACCTTGTCTTCTTAGTTTGTTGGTTTCTGTAGAAGATGCACCTAGACCTGATCTAGGTTACAAGATTCTAGACTTCAAGCCGGATACTGGACGAGACGCTGGGTGTCCTAGGACTGGGACGCACATATTTTGCATGTGCAAGGGGCATGAGTAACTGTGGTCAGAGGGCAGACCAGGCAAAATTAACGGCCCCCTCGTCCCCGCCCCATCCACACCTTTTGGTAGTGCCCCCCTCCCCCATACTGTCTGGATGTGACCATGGCGATTACAGCAAACTTGATACAGAAACTTGAAGAAGCACTTGCTAGTTTCTGTTCCCTCTCTTGCAGCTCTGTAATCACCATGAGAAATGCCTAGACAGCCCTGACCCAGGCTTGTCTGCTGGGGGGACAGGAGTGACACATGGAAGAGAGCCAAACCACACCAGCTGAGGCCATCCCAGAGCAGCCAGGACCCCGTCAACTCACATCAGACGCCTGACCACAGATACAGGAGCCAAGACCAGCTGACCAGGATCACTCATCCAACCTGCAGACTCAAGAAATGGATCATGGCTGCATTTAGTCTCCAAGTTCAAGTGTGAGTATTAGGCAGTAATAGCTAGTGGACAAGTTATCATTTTGCTCTTATGTGCCTGGCACTTTGGCCTTTAGGTTCGGTACATCTAGCTTTTTATGTCTTCGTTCTTACCACTGATGGGGCTCTTTTAATTTACAGACTCAAAGTCTTTCTTCACTTCAGAAAAATCTCTGTTGTCGTTCATTACTGTCTTGATCTGATCCCTTCACCAGGACACTACCTACATGTTGGAGGCAAGCTATCTTGTGCCACCTTGGGTCATCTTTCCATTTCTGTCCTTCGGCAACTAAGGACACCACTTCAGCTTAGTCTGCAACATAATGGCGCTGTATGATATACTGTAATTTACATGTAACAGTATATACACTTCAGATGACATACTGCACTCGTTCTGCCCTTCACTTCTATACGATACCGATTTTAGTTCTAAAGTTAAAATTTTGTCTCTTTCAAAATCTTCTATGCAGTTCTCAAATTTTCCTTTCATCTAGCTTCATCTCATACATTCTCATTCTTTCAGAAAAATCCAAAGTCCCTGAATTCTAAAAAATAGCCGTTTTCTATAGTTTTCAATAGAATGCGCTTCTGTATTTTTAAGGCCATTTCCTATCCTTTACATCACCAGTTCTCTTCGTGGGGCCCACGTATGTTGTTTCGGCTACTCCCCTTTGAATGGGAACCCTACCCAAGCCCGACGTTTACCCGGAAAAGGCGACCTCCCAAGTCCGTGAGCTCTGAGTCTCCCCCGACACCTCCCGCGCCCCCCGCACAGGGCTGTGGACCCGCACACCCTACACCAAGTCTCTGGTATCTCGCTTTTCACTGCGGCCCCCTCTGCTGCACGGATGACCCATCTCCCGCAGGTGCCACCTGCTGCTTCTCGCAGAGGCTTATTCCTGGATAGCTGAGGCCGCCTGTGATTCTTTCTTTACCAGAATTAATGAGAAACCACCATCCCAGGGTATCTGTTTTTATGGTTTTCCCAGGATCACGCCTGATGAAACTTTTCCAACTACTCCACTCCTGGCCGCTCTACATCGCCAAGAATTGTGGTTCTCAGATTGGTGGGAGGAGTGCTGAGAAGGAAATGGCCTCCTCCTGGCTGCACCACGAGGTCGGCATCTTCGGCATGTGTGTACACGTGTGTGTGTGTGTGTGTGTGTGTGTGTGTGTGTGTAAATACCACTCTACTGTTCACCAAAAGCATTTTTATATTTTTATTCTTACAACCACCCAACAATGTAAGCAGAGAATCCTCATCAGGCAGGTGAAAACCTGAGACTCGAGGGAAGTAACAATGACTGCACATTTACATTAATTCATTAAACTTTGATTTCTAGTTTTGTTTTTGTTTTTTTTTTATTTGGTTGTGCCAGTTCTT